AGTACACATCAAGCCGGTATGGGTGAGGAACTTTGTCAAGGACATTGACAAAACACAAGCAGCTTTCAAGTACCTCCAAGATTAAGTGAAGCTAAGATAAAGGAAGGTCTCAGATTCGTGAACTTCTTCGAGATGATGCATTTGACCATGCACTGCGTGGCAAGGAAAAGACGGCATGGAAAGCCTTCCAGTTAGTGGCAATAAATTTTCTCAGAAACAACAAGGCAGACAACTACAGGTTGTTGGTGGAAAACCTCCTCAAGGCATACAAAAGCCTTGGTTGCAACATGTCACTAAAGATACATTTTTTGCACTCTCATCTAGATATTTTTTCCACCGAACTGCAGAGCAGTGAGCGACGAGCACGGCGCGCGATTTCACCAGGATATTGCACCAATGGAGAAACGCTGTCAGGGCAAATGGAGCCCATCAATGCTTGCAGACTATTGCTGGACAGTGACAAGAGATGCTCCATTTAATGAATACAAGAGACAAGCCAAGAAGCGCCGAGTAGACACTGAATAGGACTAAACTATGTACATAATAGTTTTTTGCCTTTTGTTTCATAATAAATTTTATTTATATAACCCTTTTGTTGACTTTTAAAGTGTTACATAAACAGGACAGGTGAAATATTATCATGTAAAGCAACCATAAACACATGAAAAGACCTAGGTTTACAATTTATGATTAAAACTCTACTATCTACACAAAATGTAAAAACTTAAATATCTTAGAAACAGTAGCCAATCAGTTGTTTTAATTGTCATATTTGAATTCAGCACATCAAAATACATAATAAATAGCACATTTTATCTCTGAAGCAGACGACTGCTCAGAAATTGTAGACCAGTGTAATTCCTACTTCCAAATGAATGTGCAGGTATCCTTATGGGGGGGTGTTCATGAAATAGCAAATTAACTCTGTATTTCCTAGCCTTCATAAGCTTGATTTGATTTTCTTGTAATGATAACATTTCTCAAGGGTATGTGGGGAGACCTCATCTGAATGTTTCCTGTTTTTTTAATGTTTGATTTTGGGGATTTTAAGTCCCATGTTCTGGGAACGGAAGGCATGTTGTACAGCAGCATCACTTAACACTCCATCTTAATGAAAGGTTTTGTGAGTGAATAAAATATGCCCAATGTATCCGGAAAGCTCTCAGCAGTATCAGAGGTGCTGAACCTCCAGAAGAAAGAAAAAGACAGCTCTGCATCTGTTCACATTTGGAAGGTTATCTTCAGAATTGTAGTGGTTAGAACCTTTATTAATTAAAGGTTAGTTTCTGCAGAAATTAATGGTATAGACTCTCCAGCTTGTCAGTGAAAAATTCTTATGTCACTCATGAGTAATCAAATAAGACAAGCTGTGTAGGTGGAGAAAATAATTAAGGTTATTGAAAATGTAAAAATAAACGGAGAAAAGAAATTAGACGTTGCTATTTATGGGGCATTCTTGTGGATTATTTTGACGTTTCCAGAGCTTCACAGCACGTCTCCCATCGCCATGTTTGCTATTTTTCAAAGCAGTGATTTCTGCACTTAAATATCTGTAATTGGGGAATTGAAGATACTGGTAACAGTGAATGGCATATAATTTATATTGGTAAACCCTTTGGTTTTGGCCTGATTCTCCCCCTTTCCCCCCATTGGAAGATGTACAGAAAGTGTAAACCATTCCATTAACACCTTCCCACCTCTGCTATATTAAAAGACTATTAAGTTGCAAATGGAATCTCTAATGGTCTAGAACAGGGGCGGGCAAACTTTTTAGCCTGAGGGCCACATCAGGTTTCTGAAATTGTATGGAGGGCTGGTTAGTGGAGGCTGTGCCTCCCCAAACAGGGGGCAGGGGCCTGTCCACGCCTGGTTATCTGCCCCCCCCCCCCCCGAACTCCTGCCCCCATCCCTCCGACGCTCCCTGTCTCCTGACTGCCCCCGGACTCCCCACCCCTGGCTGCCCCCTGATGCCCCATCCAACCCCCCCTCTCCTTCCTGACTGACCCCTGCCCCATCCAACCACCCCTTCTCTCTGTCCCCTGACTGCCCCCTGCCACCCCATCCAACCCCCCCTCTCCTTGTTGACTGCCCCCCCGACCCCTGTCCCCATTCAACCCCCCGTTCCCTGCCCTCTGATCGCCCCGACCCCTATCCACACCCCTGCCCCCTGACCACCATCCTGAACTCCCCTGCCCCCTATCCAAGCCGCGCTGCCCAGAGCACCAGGACAGGCAGCTGCGCCGCCCAGCTGGAGCCAGCCACGCCACCGCGCAGCACAGAGCACTGGATCAGGCCGCGGCTCTGCAGCTGCTGTGCCGCCCAGAGCATTGTGCCGGCGGCGCAGTGAGCTGAGGCTGTGGGGAAGGGAGGGAAAGCAGGGGAGGGGCTGGGGGCTAGCTTCCCGGGCCAGGAGCTCAGAGGCTGGGCAAGAGGGTCCCAGGGCCGTAGTTTGCCCACCTCTGGTCTAGAAAGCCAAAATTAAGGTGCCTGAACAACTCCAACTCTGCCCCTGGTGCATATGCATTATGATGGACTCGGATTACATGATCACATAGTACTTTTCCCAAAAGGCTGCCGTATTCAGTGAAGAGATTAGATATGCTTCATGAATAAGGCAGCTTTTTAATATTTCTATTATCCTCATTGTTCAGTGTGTGGGCCATATGCTTAATGCTCTGCTTGCAGCGCAACCCTTGTACTGAATGAGGTGGAGTCTGCAGGTCCTGGTCACTTTAACAACACACTATCTGTCCCAGGCTAAGCTGAGCCTGTAAAGCATGAATTCCACAAGCTCTTTCTTGCGCCACTAACAAAACTCTGTTATGAAGGCAGCAATTGTCTGGGGCCTCTCTCTTTCAGTGTCCAATCTGTACACTGGGTCATGCAGAGGAAAATAAATGTTCATATAATTAAAAGTTACATTGTAAGGGCATAAGAGGGCAGTATTAAGATTGTGCAGACAACATTAAATTTGGCATTTCTAGCCTGTGGAGTGCTTTATTTTGCAATATTAATGTTCCTTTGAGGTAGTTTTTGGGATGGAATGTCCCATGTTTGCTTTTTTTTTTTTAAAGCTCTAAAACAATGACATAACATGCAATTATTTGCTAGACACAAGTTAAATGCACTTTCCTGTACAATCTGGGCACACAGTACAATGCATTCTTTTCATAGAATCATAGAATATCAGGGTTGGAAGGGACCTCAGGAGGTATCTAGTCCAACCACCTGCTCAAAGTAGGACCAATTCCCAACTAAATCATCCCAGCCAGGGCTTTGTCAAGCCTGACCTTAAAAACCTCTAAGGAAGGAGATTTCACCACCTCCCTAGGTAACCCATTCCAGTGCTTCACCACCCTCCTAGTGAAAAAGTTTTTCCTAATATCCAACCTAAATCTCCCCCACTGCAACTTGAGACCATTACTCCTTGTTCTGTCATCAGGTACCATTGAGAACAGTCTAGATCCATCCTCTTTGGAACCCCCTTTCAGGTAGTTGAAAGCAGCTATCAAATCCCCCCTCATTCTTCTCTTCTGCAGACTAAACAATCCCAGTTCCCTCAGCCTCTCCTCATAAGTCATATGCTCCAGCCCCCTAATCATTTTTGTTGCCCTCCGCTGGACTCTTTCCAATTTTTCCACATCCTTCTTGTAGTGTAGGGCCCAAAACTGGACACAGTACTCCAGATGAGGCCTCACCAATGTCGAATAGAGGGGAATGATCACGTCCCTCGATCTGCTGGCAATGCCCCTACTTATACAGCCCAAAATGCCGTTAGCCTTCTTGGCAACAAGGGCACACTGTTGACTCATATCTAGCTTCTCATCCACTGTAACCCCAGGTCCTTTTCTGCAGAACAGCTTCCTAGCTATTCGGTCTCTAGTCTGTAACGGTGAATGGGATTCTTCTGTCCTAAGTGCAGGACTCTGCACTTGTCCTTGTTGAACCTCATCAGGTTTCTTTTGGCCCAATCCTCTAATTTGTCTAGGAGCGCTGGCTACTTCAACACATTCAGACCATACTTTAAAAGCCCATACCTTTTAAAAAATGAAATAAAACTCAGCTTTCTTACTTATATACTAGTAGCTGAAAAGGTGGGTTGTTTCACAAGTACAGGGTATAATTCATAAAGTAAAAATGACTGAGAACTCAAAAAAATTGTGTGTCACTTAGGTTTATGGTTTTATGGTAAGTCTGAGTGAGGGTGTCTATTGTGCTGATATATTTTTATTGATTTTTGATGATGATGGTGAATGAAGGGTGTGTCTTGCCAGGAGGGTTTATTGTGCATACTAATTGTTGGTGGGTTGTGGTGGTGTTTTGTATCTGGGGGAGGTTGTGCTGGGAGAGCTGTTGATGGCAGCTGGGCCAAGTGATCAAGCCATCTGTGCAATTGCCCTCATATATCCAGTGAAATTGTTTTATGCAAATCAGCTGTAGAGTAAGGTCGGTGATTGGTTGCGATATCAGAGGTAACAATGGTCTTATGACTCTTGGTATGTCATAAATACATGTCTTACTGTAGCTGTACACCACACAGGTGTAATTTGTAAAGTGAAAATGACTGAGAACTTAAAAACTGGATGGTCACAGATGGTGAAACCCAGTAATAATGCACCCTGGTGATATTCTGAACATACTTGTAGCTGATTCCATTGCTTCATGCTGACTCTACAGACATAATAGGCTTCAGTGTGATCCACAGTGACATTCCTGGAATCTTATCTATATAGATGCAGAAATCTAATGGAATACTGAGAGACTGTCTCTCCAGTAATACCCTCCATTCAGTTGTTTCACCTTTGACTGTTCTTTTTAACTTCTGTTTAACTAGCATTTTTGTGTAGTTCCCATTTTTGAAGTTAAATGCTACTATGGTCTGTTTCTTTGGTATTTTCCCCCCTACAAGGATGTTAAATATAATTACATTATGGTCATTATTACCAAGCACCTCAGCTATAGTCATCTCTTGGACCAGATCCTGTACGCCACTTTGGACAAAATCAATAATTGCCTCTCCCCTTGTGGGTCCCAGGACTAGCTACTCGAGAAGTAGTCATATCCTGCTACTTCTTCCATGTTTTGCAAATTCACTTTTCTCTATATCCTGACTGCTAAAACTCTTGCCCTAATTATCTCCCACCTTGGTTTTAACCAATTCCTTCCTACAAAAGTAATCTTTTGTCAACAAAACAATGGAGATGTACACAGTATAATTCTCCTTTCACCAACAAAACTCTCCAGCTTTGCCGACAAAATAAAATCACCTCTCATTGAGGTGTTGAGCTTTTTGTGGCAAAGTTATATAGACAAAGTGTCAGTGTAGACACTGCACTTGGTTATGTCGCTGTAAATTGCTTCCAGGAAGTGTCCCACAATGCCCGTCCTGGCTGCTCTAGTCAGCAGTTCGAACTCAACTGCCCTGCACCCAGGTACACAGGCATCTGCACCACCTCCTTTAAAGATCCAGGAATTTTTGTAATTCCACTTCCTGTTTGCTTGGCATGGAGAACTCACATTGCATCTTTCCAGCTGATCATGGTGGCTCCATGCAGCAAACTCTCTCCCGCTTGGAGCACACCTGAGTTGTTGGATCTGCTGGCTCTGTGGGGAGAGGCAGCTGTGAAGTCCCAGCTCAGCTTCAGCCATAGGAACTTTGATACCCATGGTCAGATTTCTCGTGGCATGTTGGATAACGGCTATGAACAGGGCATGCATCAGTGGCATGTGAAGATAAAGGAGTTGAGGCAGGTGTACCAGAAGGCAAGGGAGTCAAACCGTTGCTCTGGTGCTGCATTGGAGACCTGCCATTTCTATAAGGAGCTGGACGCCATCCTTGGTGGTGACCCCACCTTCACCACCAAGATCCCTGTGGATACTTGGGCCGGGGGGGCAGCGGCTGGAGACAGCAGACAGTGGACTCAACCCTGAGGACGAAGTCGTGAACAAGGAGGTTGAGTTGGAGGACGAGGTGGGACAGGCAACAGTCATCCAGTACCGTGGCGAGCCAGGACCTCTTCTTGACTCAGGCAGGTTCGAGCCAGTCCCAGCAATCTATCTCTGATGCGCATGATGCAGGAGAGGGGAGCTCTGGTAAGTGATCTTTTTGAGTCGATGCTGTTCGGTTATATGAGGTAGAGCTGTCCTTTGCTATATGCTAGAAGTGGGTGAAGGGATAGAAATATACAAGACTAGCTGTGATTTTTGCATGTGATTCACATCCCCCTGTGCAGCTATGCAGTGAGGTGGAACAGTGTGTTAATGCACACTGAGATTTCATGGGAATGCTCTAGTGAGATCTCTAGGAAACTTTTCTGGGGGTACTCACCAATCCTCTGCTGAGGGTTCCTTGGCAGAGCTGCTTTGTTCTTTTCCCCCATTGTAGGAAACTTTCCTGCGCCAATCGGCAATCACTTGTGCAGGGACCAAAGCAGCACAGAGGTGAGCTGCATAGGGATCTGAGCCACACGCGTGCAGGAGATGCATCCTTGTTTACCTGCAGGAGTGAGATATTGACTTCAATGATCCCTGCCTGTGGAAAATTGGTGGCAAAATTTTCAGTTTTGTCCCTAGGTGCTTGCAGTGCTCCTCTTAAAAAGCCTCCCAGACCCTTTGCCCCATCTTGAGCACCCTGCCTCCCCTGGCCAAACTCACCATGTTTAGGGTGTTGGCCGAGCTGTGTGCCTGCCAAGGGACAGTGAGAAACTGATTTCATATTTTAAAAGGTGCATTTTACTATAATGATTTGAAGCTGTGAGTGCACTAACAATCATGGTTCTATTTGTTTCTTGTGCTTTTGCAGATGTGGCCTTCAGGGGAACCCACTACACACCAGCAGAGTGCCTCTGCCAGGTAAGGAAGCCAAGGAGGACATGATTTGAGAGGTGCTTCAGTCCTCAAATGCCGAGAAACAAGAACACAGGGTGTGGAGAGAGAATAAAAGTTAAAATTATAAAATAGGCAGGAGAGCCAGGAGTGAATTTTAATGGGCCAGGAGCAGATGATAAAAGTGATGGAGGACCAAATGGAGATGTTGAAGTCTGAAATCCTGCTGCAGGCAGAACACATGCATGCTCTTCCCCTCCCCCCACAGCTGATACAGAGCTGCTTGTCATGCCCTCCCCAAACTCCTCTCAGACATTTCTTGCATCTTCCCAGTCCGTCTCAGTACCCTGTTGACTCCACCCCTTCAGACAGTTTCCAAAATGATAGCTGGAGTTATACACAGCTATGAGAGCCTACATCAGGACACTGCCCTTCACTGTTATCTCCCTTTCCACCAAGCATTTTCTGTGTGATTTTAATTGGTATTTAATAAAAACATACTCTCTGAAAAATAATCAATCTTTATTTGTTTCCTACACAGAGTGGTTGCTGCTGGAATTAATACAGAGTTGCAATTTGATCATTTGCTGACTACAAATCATGATCAGGAATCATCAACATTTTCATGCAAGGCGGCAAGTTAAAGCATGGCAGAGTGCTGTATAGAAAGACACATTGCTGGTGCTCGTTGTCAAAATGGTGCCTAAAAGATTCCAGGATTCAAATAGCCCTCTGTTGTGCCCCTCTAATAGCCCTGGTATCTGGCTGCTCAAAATCAGCCACCAGGTGATCCGCATCCATGCTCCACCCCGGGGGAAACTTTTCACCCTGAAGCCAGGTCTACACTAACCCCCTAATTCGAACTAAGGTACGGAACTTCAGCTACGTGAATAACGTAGCTGAAGTTCGAAGTACCTTAGTTCGAACTTACCTTGGTCCACACTCGGCAGGCAGGCTCCCCCGTTGACTCCGCGGTACTCCTCTCGCCGAGCTGGAGTACCGCAGTCGACGGCGAGCACTTCCGGGTTCGACTTATCGCGTCCAGACTAGACGCGATAAGTCGAACCCAGAAGTTCGATCGCTCGCCGCCGAACTACCGGGTAAGTGTAGCCAAGGCCTTAGTCTCACAAATATTATGCAGCGTACAGCAGGCTGCTATGACCATGGGAATATTTTCCTCATTTAGGTCTAATCTGCCATAAAGGCAGTGCTAGAGTGCTTTTAATCTGCCAAAGGCACATTCTATGGTCATTCTGCACCTGCTCAACCTATTGTTGCAGTGATTCTTGCTGCTGTCCAGGTTTCCTATGTAAGGCTTCATGAGTCATGGGAGTAGAGGGCACACTGAGTCTACCAGGATCACTCTGGGCATTTCAACATCACCCATTGGAATCTTGTCTGGAAAGAAAGTCTCTGCTTGCAGCTTTCTGTACAGGCCAATGTTCCTGAAGATGCATGGGTCATGCGCCTTCCTGGACCACCCCACATTTATGACAGTGACACGCCTACGGTGATCCACAAGCGCCTGCAATACCATAGAGAAATACCGCTTTCTATTGATGTACTCCTTTGCAAGATAGTCCGGGGCCAAAATTGGGATATGCATGCCATCTATTGCCCTGCTGCAGTTAGGAAATACTGTTGCCGCAAAGCCATCCACTATTTCTCACACATTTCCAAGAGTCACAGTCCTTTGTAGCAGAATGCCATGCACACTTGCGATAACGCAGTCCCAACTTTGGACACCAAACTGATTCATGAGTGACCGGTAGCAGTCTGTAGTCGCTAGCTTCCACAGAGTGATCACCACATGCTTCTCCACTGAGGGGGCAGTTCTCATTTTGGTGTCTTTGCACTGCAGTGCTGGGCCAAGCTCCGCACACAGTTCCAGGAAGGTGGCTTTCCGCATCTGAAAGTTCTGCATTCACTGCTTGTCATCCCAGACCTGCATAACGATGTGATCCCACCACGCAGTTCTTGTTTCCCGAGCCCAAAAGCGATGGTCCACCATATGCAGCAGCTCAGTGAATGCCAAAAGTAATCTGGTGTTGTTTCTCTCCATTGCACACAGCAGGTCAGGCACCTCGGATCCCTGTTTCGACTGGGAGCCGCTCATGATATACTGCATGACCAGCCATGACGTATTCATAACAGTGACCATAACAGTAGAGAGCAGTGCAGGATCCATCCTTTCAGACAGAGATGGCAGGCGCACTGTAAACAGGCTGTTGAAAAATGGCACTGAACGCAGTCGGAAGCCCATGGAGTAATGGGACAGAAAAAACTGCATCATGGGACGTTGAGCCCGTATCCATGATGCACTGTGATCCACTCTGCCTTCCCACAACTCCTAGCTGCAGAAGGTGGCAAGTAGCACAGTGGGGTTAGCTACCCACAGTGCATTACTCTGTTGATGCTAGAGCACCAATTGTGGATGCGCTCTGCTGATAGGAGCGTTATGTGAACATGCACAAGTGATGTAATTAGAGCGGTTTTTGATTGTTGGCGTAACTTGCATCGACACAACTCTGGAGTGTAGACAAGGCCTTAGTCTCTGATATCTCCAGTAGTGATTCTACAACCTGCTTTTGGAAGCTTTTTACTGCTGAGATCTTCTTACGGTATTAGGGTTTTCCTAGTACTTAACATGAGCTTTCTTTGCTGCAGCGCATTAGTTCCTGCCTCTTCTGTCAATGATTGGTGAGAATAATCTGTTCTTGGCCTCTTTAGAACAGTTCTTTGTGTATTCAGAGTGACATGGTAGCAGTCTATGATTGTAGTTCAAAGAACAGATGTATCAAGTTTTCCTCCTAGGTTCTATTTCCTAAACCTTTTATTGGTGTGGTCTGAATACTCTACAGTACTATGCAACTGGTGCTGAGTGAATTAATTACTTGTTTTATAGGCAGTATTCATACATCTTACTAGCGCATTTGCCTCATCTGCACTGAATCATATTCAGTTTAATTCCTAGAGCCTTCTCTGTGTTACTACTGCTTAGGCAGTAGAGAACAAGGATCGCATGGAGGGGGCTGAGCCATGGGATACCACAAGTGACAGAGAACATCTTGCTGTGGGGCACAAGACCCCAGATCCCTTTCTCTGCAGTCAGGTCCCTCCTAAAGACTCATGTCTAGATTACATACAAGAAATTATCTGGCTGGTTAAGGCTAGGTTGTAGGTATTCAGCTAATATATTTTTATTTAGATAAATAATCAGGATGTGTCCAATTGCCACGTGACCACTCTATTTGTATATTGTACCTCTTTTCCTCTCCCCTGCTTCTACTGTTTCTTTCTAGAGCAGAGGGTCTCAAACTGGGGAGAGGTATGGAATATATTTTGGAGTGTGTGAGAGAAGCGTTGGGGGGGGGGGAGGGGGAGACTTACTGCGCACATTTTACCCACAGCAGCAAATAACTATCAAAGCTGATTCCTCCAGACATATCAGGTCTTCAGATGGCACTGTGCATTTGACTTTGGATGGTGCTGTTCATTTTGATAGATTTCTGTTAAGCTTGAACAGCATTATACAAGTCATTGCCATCTGTACATTAATCTGTTTGCTACAATGCAGTGTGCACATTTAATTTTAAGCATCACAATTTTGCTTTTGCCCTTATTACAATGGATCGTTGGCGCTGTTTGAATCAATGCCTTACTGTTTTTAATATTTAGTGAGAGTTGCATGTTGGTTTTTTTTTTTTGGTATATGTACTTGTCGGGGGGGGGGGGCATAAACTACTACAGACACAAAGAAGGGCATGATCAAATAAGTTTGAGAACCACTGTTCTACCACTGTTCTAGAGTGTAAGCTTTTCTAGTGGTGACTGCTTCTTTGTGTGTGTTTTTAGCATCTAGCATGCTGTGTCTGCTACCAAAAATAAGTTATTAGAAATGTTGCGGGCATGGTATTAGAGAAACCTTCTGCACTTGGTGTTTTAAAATTCCTATAAACGAGTCAGCTCTTTCTGACTTTTTGTCTCTTGTTTTCAGCAGGATTCTCCATTTCTGGGTAAAGAATGCAGACAATAAAGTGCGTAGTTGTTGGAGATGGTGCAGTGGGAAAGACCTGTCTTCTCATCAGCTACACCACCAATGCCTTTCCAGAGGAGTACATACCCACTGTGTTTGACAACTATAGTGCCCAGATGACTGTGGATGGCCGGACAGTTAGTCTAAATCTCTGGGACACTGCAGGCCAGGAGGAATATGACCGTCTGCGTACACTCTCATACCCGCAAACCAATGTATTTGTCATCTGTTTTTCCATTGGAAGTCCCTCCTCTTATGCAAATGTTCGGCACAAATGGCACCCTGAAGTCTCTCACCACTGTCCTAATGTTCCAATCCTTTTAGTTGGCACCAAAAGGGACTTACGAAGTGATGTGGAAACAGTTAAAAAGCTGAAGGAGCAAAGCTTGGCTCCCACTACCCCACAACAGGGAACTTCACTGGCCAAACAGATTGGAGCAGTAAAATATTTGGAATGCTCAGCTCTGAACCAGGAAGGGGTTCGAGAGGTGTTTGCTGAAGCTGTGCGTGCAGTTTTATACCCAGTGACAAAGAAAAACACAAAAAAGTGTGTCCTGTTGTAGTTGCCGAAGATGATGGATATTTGAAGTGGAATAAAGACTGACAGGGATCTTGGTGGGCTCCTTTCTTTTTTT